TCCGATGGAAACATTCGAATGGGCCGAATCTCACTTGGGAAACAGAGAACGACATGATGAGTCGCTACCCGCATCTGTTTGCTGATGCATGATTCCAGGACGGAATCATCCTAAGGGGGAGAGAATTGTAACGCCCGGGTTTCGGGGCTAAGCATTTTTTAGAAGATGTAATAGTCTAGGTCAACAATTATAACTCTTTTGAAATAATAAAGATGAAATATTTAAATACTATGTGAATTATGTGTATCTGTGTGCATATTACTTATTTATAAATGAATAATAAATAAAAAATAAAAATAAGCGTCAAAATTAAAGTGTGAGATAAGCCCAATATCTTTACATAAAGTTGTAGTGGTCGAAACAAGGATTCCGGGGATATAAAGAACGCCGAAATCCGAGTTATAACGAAGAAGTTATGACCCGTCGAAGTTTCGCGACGGAACCGGCACGGCACCGGGAAGCATAAATAGTGAATTTACGATAGAGCGATTTTTAGCCTTAGCGATCTAAACGAAAGTCGTAGTGTTCGTTAAACCGAGAGCGTCCATAAAAAGAACGCCCAAATCTGACTTCGTATGAGGAAGTTATGATTTTTCGAAGTTTTGGCTTAGCAGTGTACAACCCGAAATTCGAATATTAGATCGCGCGGTTTATAGCCGACACAACCTAAACGAGAATCGAAGATCTCGTTAATAGTAGCGTAACGATAAAAAGACAGACGAAAACGGAAGTCGGATGAAGGAGTTATGAATTTTTAACGGACCAATCGTGTCCCGGCCTGTTAAAAATATAACTTTTAAAATGGAATCAAAATTAGCCCACGGAGTCTAAACGAAAGTTGTAGAGTACGTTCCCGCCTACGCGTGGATATAAAGAACGTCGAAAACGGAGCTCGTATGCGAAAGATACGAATTTTTAAAGTTTAGACTCGAATTTGCGAAGCCTGTTGCTCGATTGATGACGTGGCAAGATCACAGCCGTCGCTTGCGGCCCACGGCCTCGCTTCAGATGGAGACACCTGGCCTCGCATACGCGTCGCGTAAAAGGGTACGCCCCGCGTTCGAAATCGCTTGGTCTCGGAAGCTCCACGTCGCCCCACCGAGGTCTCGCCACCTGTGGCCCTATCCGAACTATGCCCCGCGTAGTGTTGTACGCCCAGCGTACGTCCGAGGCTCGTGGCTATAAATACCCTGCGAAGGCAGCCGACTTTCTTGCACCAAAATCACTTCTCTCTCTAGTTTATTTCTCTCTCTAGCCTATCTTAAGCCCCCTAAAGCCTAGGTGAACCCCCTAGCACCCGAAGGAAGCCCCGAGGCTCCCGGAGTCCCGAGAAAAAAGGGTATTTCGGTTCGGAAACGCTGCTCCGAGCAAAGCCCGGTTTTTAAGAAAATCCGCTGTAAGTGAGCTACGGCTATGCAATTTTTAATATAGCTTCTAATTAATTATAGTAACATTATTAGGACCTTAAAATAATTATTTGGGCTATTATTATGAGTTATATAGAGTGTTGTTTAACACTTATATAAAAAAATAATAATAATAGCTAGACTATTAATTAGTCGCAGTTAACGTTAGACTAAACCCTAGTGGAATTGATACTAGCTTTTGTCGAGGGAAAATTATTTTTGAGATAACGAAGCGTTGTTCAAGTGCAGAGTCACCACCTTTACAGTGAGTGCATAGTTACTTTCAGCTTACACATAGATATAAAGTATTTTATATAAATTACGTGTTGTGTGTGCATATTATATGTGTACTTGCTATCTATGCTGGATGAACGATTTTATACATGTTTTAAATGATTTAAACTGTATATGTATTTTATATCTACAAAATGTGGTGGGTAAAACATGGGTAGATGTAATAGTTGTTGTGTGACAAAATAAAATAATGAGAGGCTTCGTTATAGATGTTATAGATGATCCATTCATCTAGCGGAGTATAGATGACGACCACAAACTATTCTAGACAGTCTAGTGGAACGCTAGCACACTCGCAACCTGTAGGTGTTTATTTGAACTGTGTGTTTACCAGCAGTACTCCATCCCCCACATGGTTGCCTTATTTGACATGAATTGCTGAGGAATCCCCGAAGCATGTGTTGTCACCCCGATGAAAGTCCTTAGATTAGGTCCCTTGTGTTAGGTGTTTTAGGGACGTGAAGTGAGGATAACGGGAACGGGTAATCGGGTTTGATAAAGTTAATAAACTTATTTATTATGGGTTGAAAACCCTATGTGCTCACCACGCTCCCAAGCCTGACCCACTCAGTTTCTTGTATTACAGGTAGTGGCACATGAGCATAGATGTTTGGATGAGAGATAAGGGATTATAGGCCTGTAAATACGAAATAATGTAGTAAGGCTTATGTTTTACTGTTTATGCTTTTGATCTGTATCGAACATGACATCCCGAGTCTTTTAATGAAATACATTTCTTTGGAAATGCTTTTGATAAATATTTATCATATTTTGTTTTGGGACAAATTCCGCAACACTTTTACTTAAAATGTTACTCTGATTTTCAAACAAGCATAAACAAAATCGGTCTTTTCTGGCCGTGAAAATGGGGATGTCACATCATGTCTTGGAGATGAAGTCACATATTGACATGCTGAGAGTATTGGGTGTCGTTGTCTCAAGGAAGTTGGCTATTGACTGGTTTCTTCAATCACTTCCCGAGTCATATAGTGAGTTCATTAAGGACTACTATGTGACAGACCACGACATGACCCTTATTGATCTTACCTATTTGCTTGTTGCTGCTGAATTAGCAATGATTTGGTGCACTGGAAAAGCAAATTTGATTGGACGATCTACTTCCCAAGCTGCCATGGACATAGACAATGACATAGATAGTCCATAAAAGATCCCTTCTCCTATGGGAAGGGAATTGGCTATGGTCAAAAGATTTGACCATAAGAGAAAAGCCAGTTCTGATATAGTTCCATGTGCAAACGCCAAAGAGTCCACTTGTCTCTACTGCCATTTGAAGGAACATTGGAAGCGAAGCTGCCCTGACTACCTGAAGGAACTAAGAGAAGGTAAAGTCAAAAAGGTTTGACTCTACTCCAGGTAAGTCCATTATCTAACTCTATTAAGTTCCTAATTGTTGATTCTTGATACATGATGTGACAAGGTTGCATTTTGATGTTTTGTAGGATCGAAGAAACAAAAGGAAGCTTAAAGGAAGAGTAAGCTGAATCTGATCGCGAAGAGATGGATTTTTGATCGCCTGATTCGATGATCGGAATTTTGAGTTGCTGCTTAAGAGTTATGATAGATTGCTTAGGAATAGATAACAACATAGTTTTCATATGTAATTGAATTGTAAGGAAAGGTTTTTTTTCCGCATTTTATAAATAAATAAATAAAAATTTGTTGATTTTATCTTATCTTATATCTCCTTACAATGGAATTTGTGAAAAAATGATGTTTGTATGTTTCTAGCAATTTGGGAAAATGGATTTGATTCTTTCGTTTGTGGTAGTGTCAAAATTTACCAAATTAGGAAAGATTCTCATCACCCGGGTTTCAATTGGACAGAAACTTGGAATCATGAAACTGGTATTGTATGATGAATGAGAATTTTCGTCTTTGGGAAATTAAGACTAATTCCTTGTTCACATGTATATGTGAGTCAAGTGAAGGACTAAGGGATTGGGTACACTGGGTGTGCGCTGGTCAGGTCCACCACAAAGAACGATAAGACTATTCGTCATGATTTACTAAAGTTTAGTAAAATATGGTTATGCTTACAAGTTTAAGTATAATTCTGAATCATTGGAAAAGTTCAATGTATGGCAGAACGAATGAGAAGAATCAAATTAGGCAGAAAGATAGAAGTTTCTCCAATCTGAAAAGATGGGAGAGTAGTTGAGTATCATGTTTTATGATCATCTTAATGATTATGAAAACCATGTCACAATTAATCCTCTAAGGATATCTTAGTGCATTTTTATGGCTTAGAAGAGGAATCGTGAATTGTTGAAATGGTTAAATCTAGAAGATGAGTCATACTTCGTTCCAAAATCAAATCTTAGAGTCACACTCCAAGATTGTGCCTTGAGTGACATAATCTTAAGAAGGTTTAAAACATATATCAAATGTAGAGTAAAATGTTTTCTACTCTTGTACATTTGAAATTGGTAAGTTGTGACCAACTAAGGCCAATTGTGTGAAGTGTTTGTCTTGATAAGAACCCGCACTAACTCTTGAATATTTTTTGTTAAGGAATGGTTCTTGACAAGAGAGTCTTATATGTTAAGAAGTCAGTGGGAGTCTTAAAAGATATTGACAAGTTTCAAAAACTAATCAAGAATAAAAGTTATTGTTTATCACTAGCACACGACTTGAGGTTTGTAACCTATCGTGTTGACATATTCTTGTTTATGTGCCCATTCCAGTTAAAGTTGACTATGCATGTGAGTTCTATGAGTTCTCAGTTGTTTGCATAACAACCTAGGAAGAATTGGTAGGCCCTTGTGCTGCCAGGTGGCAAGAAATTAGGATTGAACAAGTTCAATCCATATAAGTTTGGATTTGTCACTAACCTTGTCTTGTGATTATGGTTAAGACAAACTCACATGGATAGGAACACATACACCATAAAATCTAAGTGTCATAAGGTTTCTCTCCAATTCATGAAAATGATTGTGAGGAAACACTTTCACTAAGTATATTTTAAGGAGATAGAAGTTGTGTTAATTGCGTTCTCAAATTCATTTATGATTACAGCATCCCTCTTTATAGGTCGAATTGTGAGAAATGTCAAAAAGGTCTAAACATTTGAGACTTATCACTGTAAGTTCTAAAATTGTTAAGAAACACATGTGAGCTATCTAAGGAAAGGTGTATGATTTTGAGAAGCCTAGATAAAGTCTTATCGAAGCAACTCGTATAAGAAATCTGAACTTTGGTAATGAAAGTCAATAAGTATTGATTTCTAGAAGTCCAGCTAATTTCTGGGTACATGTCAAAGCTAGTGGGAGCATAAGTGTTATGTTGGTAAGTTAATAATTATTATGCTAGTGGGAGCATAATTATTATGGTGAGTGTTGCAAGTTAGCAATGTTAATTATAGAAAACAAAAGTTTTAATTTGCAAAGTTGCAGGGTTTGAAAAGTTGTTTTGCTATAATTAAAGGAGAGGAATTCATACTTCATTTCAATTTTAAAAAGCTTAGATTGAGGTTTTAATCAGATTTAGTCAAGGACATATATGAATGTTATGAAATGTTAATTCCGTTCTCAAATCCGATTATGATTACGGCATCCCTCTTCATAGTTCGAATTGTGAGAACATGGCAAATGGAAATATTATAGCAAAAGACTGATCAAGTATCGTGTCTTTATGTGAGACATTATGAATCACATCCCATATGTTTCGGGTATAGGATCGATTGCATATGCTATAATATTCTCGTGTTCTAATTTTCCAAATGCCTAGGGAATTAAGAGGGAAAAATGAATAGAACCGGATATGACTAAAGTGGTTAAACAACTGTTAAGGACAATCTAAGGTTCGCCAAGGATTGGTCGCTTAAGGACAGTTGGAAGTATAGTAATGGATGGACCATATTGACATTATTATGAATAGACATGAGTCTATTAATAATGAGTTATCGTATGGAAAATATGGAATGTTTCCATATTGGGAGTTGAAGAATAGATGAGAAAGTTAGAACTTTTATGCAAGAAGGATGTTCAAAGGATTGTACTTTGAATTTGAGACTTCATTTCCATGGAATTGTCTTGTAATCTCCATTGGAATACTTTGTAATGTCTGTTGCCAAGTCTCTGTGACTTTTGTGCATAGTCATTACAAGAGGATCATTGCATATAAGTTTAGAATCTAACAGATTTCAGTAAATGGCAAGAATTTGGTATTCTTACATTTATCATAAGGATTTGGAATTGTGAAATGAGCGTCTTTGAAATGCTTTCAGTTGATCTGTTTCACAAAGTAAAGACCATAGAAAACCTAGTGTGCATGCTTGGAGCATGGGACAACTATTGTTTTAATTCAAGTATTAAGTTGTTTATTCGAAACATTATACAATGAATAATGAGTAATCAATATGGCGATTAGATAAAAGGTGTTTTATTTACACTCAAAAGTTTTGGGGCCATATAGGATTAGTATTATTCTTGTGTTTCACTTTGCATGTTTTGACTTCCCGAATAACTAGGTTTTTCAAACTATCCACAGTCGATCATACTTTGGAAGTAGGTATTGAAGCCAGACTGTCATGAATGGGTCTGTAGATTGCTGCAGTGTTCATGAGTACTCCTGGAATAAGATTCGAGTATTGGATTAAACCCACGCTCATCTGAATCACTTCATGGATTTTATCACGAGTGATTGTGAGACGATAATATCTTATATTCTTGAAACCAAGACATGTGAGTTGTTATTTACAAGTCGGTTGCACATTGACATATGTAAACGCACCAGTAACTTACTCTTATAAAACATATCGTTGTGTGTGATTTGATGAGTAACTACAAGCAAGCATTTGAGTCTAATTTTATCCATTCCTTTTACCCTTAGAGGTATAAAAGCGATATATGTGGGCCCCCTCGATGATTTAGTGATGAAAAACCTAAGTGCTTGGCCAAGCCTGGACTGATTTGATTTGTTCAATTAGTCGGTCGTCATAAATCGGAAATCGGGAAACAACAGATGGACAGAGAGAGTGATTAAAATCCATGTCTCAGTCCATACGATATCTAGAATGGAGGAATATATGATCCCTTATCTAATGGACGCGTCATTGACTAGGTCAGAGTTCGACAGCGGCTTTTAAGAGCTACGATTGCTAGTCGGGTTATGGAATCGTACTTGCAATAATAGTTATTAGACTTATCCAAGTGGGAGACTGTTGGATTAGGTGTCTAAGCCCATAACTATAATTGGTATGTACTTGACCCGAGAGTAGCATGATCCATTTGGGTTGCATATCACCACGACAATTTGATAGGATGGACTTTTGAGAAGAGGTTAGTTATGATTTATTAATATATTATAAGTTCTAATATATTAATATGAAATCATGTGATTTAATTAGTATTGATCAAGAATCAATTTGGAATTAATTTAGTGATCAAAAGAGACTAATTAAATTAATAGGGACTAATTATGTAATTAGTTATATATATATATATATATATATATATATATATCTATATATATATATATATATATATATATATATATAGGAGTAGGATCAAATGAGAACACTTAAAAGGTTGAGAACGCGAGAACAGATCTGGACCATTTAAATATCTATATCTAAGGTTATAATCAAACGGGCTATTTATGTAAATTCTTAAATTACTAGCATTAAAGTGTAACTTTAAAATTGCCATATGGGTATAATAGTAATTACAAAGTTAGTTGATTACTAAAATATATCTCTCTCTCACGTCAATTTCCTTTCATTTTTGCTTGCCGTCTCTTTCTTACTCTCTTGTATACCTAGGGCTTCATCAACAAAATAGCCTCCATCATCCACACACCAACCAGAATCTATTCACGATAATTATCTTACATTGCAGCCACCATCGAGCCTTCTCCCTGGTCTAAACACTCTTATTTACACAGTTGGTTCCCTATTTGAATCTTGATCGGTTTTAACTACAATAGGGTTTCGTTTTCTCTTAAACAGGAAAACGAAGGAGAGAGCACGAGGGGGTTTCAGAGAGAGATCAAGAAGGAGGAGGATGCAGCAACGATGTTAGAGGCGATGGTGGTGGTGCCGCACCATATTTGGTGACCCAGCGAACCGATGCCGACCCTAGTAGTCGTAAGTTATGGTTATCATTCTTATACATACTACTATTTTTCTTGTTTGTGTTTCTTTTTTCTGATATTAATTTGATTATCATTTTTATGGCAGATATAGATTTTAAATGTAGATTAGTTTCAATATAAAAGAGTATTAATATCATCCTTATGTAAAAAGGGAAGAACATATGCTTATAAAAAAGGCAACTTAAAGTGAAAATGTGAAGTTTATCAACTGCGTGGATATAATCAAAACAAAGATCCAATTTTTTTTGGTTTTTTTTATTATCATTGCCTGCAACAAAGTTTAAGCACAGAGATGAGAGTCAAAGAGGAAACTTGTTGTGCTCATTTGTGTGGGTTAAAAATAGGACAAAGTAATGGCAGCGTAGATAAATCAAGGTATTTGTGTTCATTTTTTTTCTTTCCGAATTTTGACCTATTTTGTAGGTTTTGGACCAATTTTGTTTCATTATTAGTTACATTTGATGATTTAAATAATTAAAATTGGATAAAGGTGAACAGATTCATTACTAGGTGGTTTACCGGAGATAATAGTTTAATAAAAAAAGAATGTTTGATCGTGTTTGTTTAATCACTTATGATTATAAACATGTATAATCATAGATGTACATACGATTAGAAGCCAACTATAATAATCAGTTATGATTATAACTAGAAGACTCGTACTAATCAATTATGATTATAAAGCCACATGAGTTTGCTACTAATCATTCATTTTAATATTTTTTTTATGTAATTTTTAAGGTATTACTACTACTCGTTTCACAAGCTCACGAGCCATTTGATTCGAATAAAAGAATGGGGTTGCGAACGATTCAAGAAAATGGTTGACATATGGATGAATTTTGCAAGTTTTTTTTTCCTTTGAAGTGATTTAATCATTGTTGAGTATAATCATGTATAATCATGTATAAATATATGAAACCAGTCTCGACATATTCATTTATAAACATAACAATATAAATGTATAACCTCAATATTTGGAAAATTTATTTATGAATAAAACAGTGTTTAATATTGAATAATTAATGTGTTGAATTTTTTATTTGTTAGTATATTCATGTATGATTGGTAGCATTATTTTTATTCATTTAAAAATGAAACTGTTTATCACTAAATTGCGTTTTATTAATTTAGATTACAACCATATATTTTTATAATTACAAATGAGTTTTATCCTATATGATTGAAAATATTCGGATGAATGATAGATTAGAAAAAGACAACTTTTTTATTTGACAGATAAATTAATAAAAGTTATTTTTCTCATCAATTAATAAAAAAATCAGTTAATCTTTTATTTTAGGTTACTGTAATTATTATTGCTAAATTTTAGGAAATAAATATTTGAATTTAAGTTGATTTAATTTAAATTAAATACAGAATTACAAATATATCCTTATAAAATGATTGGTCCAGAAATGTTCTCGCGTTCTCAACCTTTTTGGTGTTCTCATTTATCATTTCCCTATATATATATATATATATATATATATATAATATATTATATATCTATATATATATATATTATATATATATATATATATTATATGGTTTGGGATTATGATACTGATGGACTAAGTTTATGGATGAATCCATAAAGCGTTAGCCCACTTGAATCATGGATCATGGATATAAGCTCCAAGTGTATGGATTGGGTTTACCATGACTCTTGGATTCCTACACTATATATAAGACACCCTATAGCCTAAAATTGGTTGCAAAAGTTTTGCTAGAGTGTTCTTGGAGATCCATAACCGATTTTAGTGTGCATAAGCTCTCTCAAAAGTCATTCTTAGTCTAAAGTGTTGTGAACCATTTGAGGTGCAACATTTGGGGAACTAAGTTCTTAAAGGCCAAGCACAACAAGTTCTACAAGCTACATAAAGAGGTTAAACTCCTAATAGTACTTTTATGTTGTTTTTATTCCATTGTATGCTAGTTGTAGGCTTAATGCTTTGGAAACAATATTGCATGTATAATTAGAGAAAACATAGATCCAAAGCATTTAGGGTTGTATGTGTTGGATTAGGTGTCTAAGCCCATAACTATAATTGGTATGTACTTGACCTGAGAGTAGCATGGTCCATTTGGGTTGCATATCATCAGGACAATTTGTTAGGATGGACTTTTGAGAATAGGTTATTTATAGTTTATTAATATATTATAAGTTCTAATATATTAATATGAAATCATATGATTTAATTATTATTGATCAAGAATTAGTTTGGAATTAATTTAGTGATCAAAAGAGACTAATTAAATCAATGGGGACTAATTGTGCAAATTTAGTTATATTTATATGTTGGGCTTATGATCCATGTTGGACTAAGTTTATGTATGGATACATAAAGAGTTGGGCCACATGAACCATGGATCATAAACCTATGGGTATGGATTATGGTTAACCCATGACCTTTGGAATTCCACATATAAATATGTTACTCCATAGCGAAAATCATTATCAATGTTCTTGGAGTTCATATGGACGGTTTTTGGTGTATGAAGATTCTCTCTCAAAATGTCATCCTTTGTCCATGATGTGTTGTGATTCCATTTGAGGAATTCACACTATTGGTGCTAAGTTCTTAAAGGCCAAAAGCTTCAAGGTTTTCCAACTACAACAAAAGGTATGTCATCTTACTTGTTCTATTACCCTTGTATCAATGTTTTGTATGCTAGTTAGGGTAATACCTTGGAAAGTTCAAGTTTGCATATATAATAGAGAAAACATAGATCCAAGGTATTTAGGGTTCCATGTACACCTTAGGAGTGTTAGAATGCTCAAAGCCCTTCAGTGGTATCAGAGCCTAGGCTTGTTTTCAATTATACTTGATGCTAGTTGCTTGAAAATGCTTTAAAAATGATTTTCTATTGTTCTGGACAGTGGAATCGCCGAGTCCATTGGGGGACTCGTCGAGTCCAAGTGCAAAGTCATCCAACTTGCTGAGTTTGCTCTTGCACTCGACGAGTTGGTGCCCCAGAATGCTGTTTTTCAAGTTTTTTGGCTGGAATTGGACTAGGATCATTACCCTAAGCTGTTTTTGAACATATAAACATGTTTTTGATGTGGTAATGATCATGCTTATCCAATTTAAAAGATAATTGTCAAAGTTTCATGTTTGTCTTAGTTATATGGTTAGGCTAATTACATGAAATTTGTTTGATTTGAATTGTCTTGTTTTTATGAGTTTAATTTAGATCCATTGACAAATTGGTTTTTTCTTGTTAGAATTTTTTGATCTAAATGATTTTGATGGATTCCATAACTTGTCCTCAAGTTATGGAAAATGAAAAGTTTTTCATTTAAATGGATCATTAAAAGTCATAGGTTATAGAAAAATGAAGAGTCCTTTTCATAAATGGTTTTATGGACTCCATAACTTGTCCTCAAGTTATGGATTTTCAAGAGTCTTTTCATTAAAACCTATATTAAACTCATGAGTTATGAATTTGAAAAGTTTTGAAAGTTACAAAACTTGCCCTCAAGTTTTGGAATTTGTAAATGTAAAAGACTAACTTTTGAAACATTTAATTCCAAACCCTAGAATTTTAAAGGTTTAAAATTCAATCCTTATACTATTATAATATTATAGGTTTAATATTTATATATATGTATAAGAGTAAAGTCAGTCTTACCGTTAGTAGGCCTCATTCATGAAGTCGGGTCTATAAGGGGGGGTGTATACGGTTACTGCCTATAAAATGGCAGTTTAATGGGTGTCCACTCTCACCCACCGCTTCCTTGACTGGTTGAGGGTCGTTAGCAGAATGGGTTTGACAGAACATTTAAATTCTCATTAAAAGTATAATGAAATATTAAGTAACTAAACACTTATGAATTCCCAATCTTAGTTACTTAGGAAAATGTGAATATGGTGCTAACCCATGAAATTGCACTTCGCACCTTGTTAAGTCGTTAGTGGAGTGTGTGTGGTTAACCGGCACACTAACCTGGGACTGACAGTGCGTGGCAACGAGTAGCTTGATGTTAATCATAGGTCAATGGAGTGTGTGTGGTTAACCGGCACATTGATTAAGTGGTTGTAACATTGAGTGTACCAAGCTAATTTGCATGGTTATTCACACCTTGTTTGTGATCCTCGGCATCCCAGTCACAAACTTGAAGGGCACAATCGAGATTTAAACATGCCATTGAATTGTTCAATGAGTCTCAAAGGATCTAGGAATTTCAATTCACTTAAAACCTAAAGTCCCTTTTCGTTTTTCGTGGTGGAAATTGGTAAATCGTCATTTACCTACCTTCAAATATTTTGCAATAGGATTACGGCATCCCTCTTCCGAATTGAATAAATATATGTGTTGGATCCTAGCCTTAAATTATTTCATGTTGGGTGTTATTTAAGGATAACTAAACATCAATAAACTTGAAATTTCTCTCCTAAATGTCTAAGTTCAGACAACTATGGTCTTCCCGAATCTTTTGAATAAACTTTCTTTATAAAGATGATTTTCCACAAGGAGATCAAGGTGAAAGATTAATCCCTTCTTCGTGCTATAGTGGAACTTCGTTTCCTCCATCTCATCCAATAATTCTCCCCAACCCACAAGTTCTAGGTCACTCAAACCCTATTGGCAGGAAGGAAAGTGTGTATGTGCTCACGTCTTGGAGATGAAGTCACATATTGACAAGCTGGGACAGTTGGGTGTCGAAGTCTCAAGGAAGTTGGCTGTTGACTGTGTTCTCTAATCACTTCCTAAGTCATATATCGGGTTCTTTAAAGGACTACTATGTGACAGACCATGACATGACCCTTATTGATCTTACTTATTTTCTTGTTGTTGCCGAATCAGCAATTATTTGGAGCACTGGTATAGCAAATTTGATTGAAAGATCTACTTCCCAACCTTAAATTGACATTGACAATGGTAACATTGGAAGACCAGAAAAGATTTCTCTTCCCAATGGAAAGGGGTCGACCATAGTCAACCCGGTTGACCAAATGGTAAAGAGAAAGGCTAAGTCTGAGATAGTCCTGTATACCATTCCAGAGAGTCCATATGTTTTTATTGCCAAAAGAAAGGGGCATTGGTTGCGAAGCTACCATATCTACCTGAAGGGCCACAAGGATGGTAAGGTCAGAGTGTATAACTCTACTTCAGGTAAGTCCACTATCTAACTCTATTAAGTTCCTATTTGGAGATTCTTAATATATGATGTAATGTAATTACATTTTGATGTTTTGAAGAATCGAAGAAAAGAAAGGAAGCTTAAAGGAAGAGTATGTTGAATCTGGTCACGAAGATGGATTTCGATCGCATGGTTCGATGATTGGATTTTTGAGCTGCTGCTTAAGAGTTATGATAGATTGCTTAGGAATAGATAACAACATATTTTCACTTGTATTTGCATTGTAAGGATAAGTTTTCCATAATTTTTATAAGTAAAGAAAAATTTTGAAATGTATCTTATTTTTAAAATTTCCTTACAATGGCTTTTGTGAAAAATTGTTGTTTATAAGATTCCATTAATAACAATATTAGGAAAATGGATTTGATTCTTTTGTTTGTGGTAGTGTCGAGAATTTACCAAATAAGGAAAGATTTTCATCACCCAAGTTTGAATTGGATAGAAACTTGGAATCATGCAACTTGTATTGTGTGATGAATGAGAACCTTCATCTTTGGGAAATTAAGACTAATTCTTTGTTCACATGTTTATGTGAGTCAAGTGGAGGACTAGGGGATCGGGTACACTGGGTGTGCATTGGTCAGGTCCACCACAGAGAACGATAAGATTATTCGTCATGATTTACTAAAGTTTAGTAAATATGGTTATGCTTACAAGTTTAAGTATAATTCTGAAACATTGGAAAAGTTCAATGTATGGCGAAACGAATGAGAAGAATCAAATGGGCGGACAGATAAAAGTTTCTCCAATCTGAAAAGATGGGAGAGTACTTGAGTATCGTGTTTTATGATCATCTTACATGATTATGAAAACCATGTCACAATTGATCCTCTAAGGATATCTTAGT